AATTCATAGTTTAAACAGAAAATCTATAGTTTAATGCAGTCAGTTCACCTTTTTAAGCACAAAAAAATCACAGTTTAATATAAAAAATTCACAGTTTAATATAGTTATTTCACAATTTAAATAAATATTCACAGCTGAATACAGTTAATTCAAAGTTTAAAATACAAAAATCATAGCTTAATACGTAAAATTCACAGTTTCTTGTTATAAATTTACAGTTTAATACAAAAAATATAAATTCACAACAATAATATCAATTTTAAACTCTTAATACAGACAATTCGCAGTTTAATATACAAAATTCACAGCTTAATATAATAAATTTACAAATTAAGACAAAAAAAAATTTATATTCACAGTCATATTTTCAAATTAAAACTTATATTTATACATTAATATATGAAGACATTTATATGTATTAAATTGTGAATTTAATATATTAAGTCGTACATAAAATTCACAACGTAATACACAATTCACAGTTTACTATACAAAATTCACAACTTAATATAATAAGTTCACAACTTAAGACAAAAAAAATTATATTTACAACCATATTTTCAAATTAAAACTTATGTTTATATGTAAATATAATAAATACACAAGTCAGAGTTTAGTATACAAAGTTCATCAGATACATTGTGTGCACCACATAAATTCATAGTTTAATAGAGCTTTTCAGAACTCTTATTCACAGTTTAATAATCAGTTTAGGACTCTCATTCATAGTATTTATATCATAAAAGCATATTAATTCACTCATTCACAGTAACTAACTTAAATAGAACTAAACAATAGTTGAAACATTAAAACATCACAGTTCAAAGCTTAAAAAAATCAAAATTCATATTATTTGAGAAAACACTAACATAATAACACACATTTTAAATTCAATTCACAGCTTAACAACAATAAAACATAAAGTGTGAATAAAAACTTGATGCAAACATTATAAAAAATAATAATAAACATGGATTAACAACTTAATAGTAGAAAAAACTATGTTTAACAAAAGTAAACACCAAATGATAGATTAGAACATTCAATTCACAACTTAACAGAAAGAAAGAAAAAAGAAAACAAATATCAACATACATGATGTGTTTCACACAAGATCAGAGATAAATAGATGGAGGATACTTGACAGTGTTTAATAGAGCAGCGAAGCAACATAAGTGGTAGTGGTTGACGACGGTCTCAGATCTGGTCTCAATCTTACCAGAGCTCTGTTAGATTTCTTCATATCTTGTGGCAGCTAGAGTTTCAGTTGCGAACATGCTTCAAAACGGAGAACAAAATCCAAATAAACAAAAAAGCTTCAGAGGTTTTAGCAGTGTTGTAAATATCGGCCTAGGCTGCCGCCTAGGCGGCACCTAGGGGCTAGGCGGTCTGCAACTGATTACGATTAGGGGTGCTTGGCGGAAATTGGTCAATATCGGTTAAACTCGGGCATGGCGGTCTTCGGCGGGAAGATTTTAAAAAATTCAAAATTTCAAATTTTCAAATATTATACCAAAATTTACAAAACTTCAAAGTTTTAAATTTTTAAATATTCAAAATTTCAAATATTATACCAAATATTTCAAAATTTCAAAATTTAAAAACTTTAAATTTTCAAGTACTATTTTTTCTTAGGATATATTAAGTTTTAAAATAGTTTTATTAGTAATTTATGGTCCCCGATTAATCCCCTCCAAAACGATTAATCGCTTGACCCTAGTCGACCGGCGAGCCATTTTTACAACCTTGGGTTTTAGATGTGGAGAACATGAAGGAAATCATATATGAAGGTTTTAAACTAGATCTGAAGGAAATCAGATCTAGAATCACGAGCATGAACAACAAAATGACACAAAGTTATGGAGGCGAAGCAGATCTGGAGGAGTAGTGAAATATGATGGTGATGACGCATCTGGAGGTGGTACATGTCGGAGGTTCGACGGTGATGTTGGAATCTCGAATAGATAGCCATATAGTCAGGTATGGATGTTTCACTGGAGATCTGATGTAGATCTAGTCAAATCTGATGTAGATCTGATTATTTCTGATGTGGATCTAGTAAGATCTGATGTAGATATGGATATTCACTGAGGATCGGAGAAGGAGGTGGTGATTTATGGCGGTAGCAGAAGTCGGCGGAGGAGCTGGTGGTGGCGGTGGTGCTGTCGACATAGGAGACGACGGTGGTAAGTCGTCGGAGCACAGTCGTTGGTGGTAAGGACGGCGGAAATGGTGGATGTTATCTGATGAAGGAAGAAGCAAAGATGAAGATATGTTTGAAGTCAGGTGAAAGAATGGTCTGATGATGTTTATGTTAGAAAGACGAAGTAATGTTTTTTAGAGATTCTTAGGGTTCTTAACCATTAGAGGTTCTCATTTGAACAGTTATATATTATATATATATATATATAATATATATATATATATATATATATATATAAGGGTGAGGTTCAATAGAGAACCATAATTAACAAGGAACCAAGGAACCAATCGTGAGCGTCAGAAATCATAATGATCAACGGCCAAGGAAATAGATGTACACTTGTACAATGGACGCACACACACCAGATTATACCAAAAAATTCACCTCCTTACCAAAAAATCCACCTCTCTTTTTTGTTAAAAAAAAATTTAGGCCACATTTTTTATCGAAAAAAAACCGAATATACCGTTGTTTTCGATTTTTCGTTCTCTTTCCATAGAGATCTATGTTGATATATAAAAAATGAATTTTTTTTTCGAAAAAAACTCACTTCATTTTGTTAGTTTTTTTCAACATTTAAGTTTATTTTTATCAAAAAACAAACTAATTATACCAAAAAAATAATAATTTTTTGTACTCTATTAATAAACATCAACTCCGACCAAAAAAAAAACCCCCTCGATCAGTGTAGATTCACACTGTAAATCTAAGCTGTAAATATTTCAATTTTTAACATTCACAATATGAAAAAGCTCGATCAGTTCAGATTCACATTGTAAATCTGACATACTCTTATGCACACTGTGAATTTGAGAAGGTTCACAATGTGAATCTGAACAGGTTCACAATATGAATCTGAATATGTTCACAATGTGAATCTGAACTGAAATATCTTTTTTTTAACATGAATATGAATCTATGTTTAAAAAGTACCAAAAAGTATGAATTTTGATATATTTATTAATTTTTTTTGTCTATAAAAAAATAGACCTTAACTTTTCAACAAAAAAAATGAAGTAGGTTTTTTTTGAAAAAAAAAGTTTGTTTTTTATATATCATCATAGATCTCTACGGAAAGAGGACGAAAAATCGTGAACAACGGTATATTCGGTTTTTTTTCAATAAAAAACATGGCCTAAAAAAAATTTTAAACGAAAAAAAGGAAATGAGTTTTGTTATAATCCGGTGCATGTGCGTCCATTGTAAAAATCTACAACCCTTCCTTTTTCCGTTGATCGCTTTAAATTTCGACGTTTTTGATTGGTTCCTTGGTTCCTTGATTAATAATGGTTCTCTATTGAACTTTTCTATATATATATATATATATATATATATATATATATATATATATATATATTATCATACATACTTATAAAGCTAGCATTTTTTCTTGAATCTCATTCATTTGAAACCCCCTTTTTTAACTTCCTCAAACCACATTCATTTGAAACCCCCTTTTTTAACTAATGCAACTCAAAAGTTTTCTTAATTATGATTTAACACTCAAAAATTTTATAACTTATATTATGTTTAATTAGCATTTAGTGAAAAATTTTACTATAAAAAGGCCAATCTTTTGTGTCTTTCGTGTTATATAAAATCTTACATGTAAGAAGGATTTGAAGATATTGTGATTCAAAAGTTTTCATATAGTTGAAGAATTCACGATCCAAATATGATGATTTCAAGAAATGGGTTATGTCGCATCGATGGTAATTGTAATATGATTTTTTCTTTCAACCAAAACAAATGAAGCTTTTCTATTCTTTCTTTATATTCAATTTCTCATTTAATCTTTATATGTGATTTGTATGTATTACTCAATCTTGAATGTGACTCTCCAAACGTCAATGTTTTGCTTGGAATATCTTTCTGATTCTTCTTTTTCAAGAAAAATATTTTGATTGCAAGTTAGTGAAGAATTGTCATCAAGTTTCTATGGTTGAATGGTGTTAAATGAAGAAAGAAGATTCAAAAAATGTATATAGGTTTTTTTGTTTGAGCAAAGTTGACGAATGTTAGTTTGTTCTTTTGATTTAAATGTATGTTTATGTAATATCTTTATTTATATATTCAAACACCCAATGCTCTTATTTATTTGATTGTAGCTTTTCTATTTTGATTATGTTTACTTTCTATTATTTTTTTGTTGCGTTATCCTACACAACATATTTAAAAGACAATATTTAAAAGATAACATAATTTTGAACATTTGATATGTAATTATGATAGACTTATCATGATATGTTCTTCATATTAAAGTAATTTTATCTATATTACTACGACAAGAATTACATATGACAGTTACAAAATATATATTATATGTGATTTATTTAACATATATATGCACCTATGTATGTTATAAATTTATAATTAAATATATTTATGTTTAATAATTGAAGGGATTAAAATGATGCATCAAAACCTATTATTTAGACGAATATAATAATAATAATAATAATAATAATAATAATAACTAGAAAGGTTACCCCGCTACGCGGGGGCCAGAAGCTTTCAATGTTGTTTCCGAATTGATAAATATGACAGACATAGAAAGTGCAAGGATGAAAAGTCCGGGCTTTGCCCCGGACAAAAAATGTAAAAGTTTTGACTGCAAGGACCAGAAGTGTGAAAATGGTTAAAGAATTAAAGGGGTAGGAATTAGCAACTTTTAAAAAAAGGGATCAAAGTTGTGAAACCGTTAAAGTTTTGTGGCCAAACTTTAAATATTAAAAGGTTTCAAAAAAATGTAAAAATATTTATATAATAATCAAAAAAAAAACTCATCCCACCCCTTACCCCCACCATTTTTAAAATCGATATGCAATCTGTCTCGCTTTGGAGCTGGACCACCCCCATTTTCGTCGGACCATCGTCGGAGCCACCTTATCCCATCGTATCACCGTCAAACCACCAAACTCTGCCTCTAAATTTTGTTCAGATCTGCGCTTACTCCTACTACCACTACTCAATCTATTACACTTTGCCCTAATTAGTGTTTCACCCAAATCCAAACACGCACTCCATTTTTCTCCACACCGCCATCGTCAAAGCCACCGGTAATCAAATCGACACCATCAATTACTGCGGGCGATTGCTTCTTCGGCAATGCATCCTCAGGTTGAGCAAGAACAACTGGTGCAAATACAGGGAGCTGATCCAGCTCCGTTCGAAAACCCTATTATCTCACTTGATGCCTTCAACGAACGAGAAACGATCGTAAGTAGAACTTATATTCAATCTATCCAAACAAACAGATACAAACTCGCTATTTCTCAAACTCAGTCATTTGCTACAATTCACTCTTTCTCAGGATTTGCTTTCAGCGATGATTGAAAACGTTAGCGGAAGGTTTGATTGTTGGACAAGAGGCTATTTCTCAAGGGGCATTAGAATTACTGATTGAGTTGGCGGGGACTAAGCCTAGGTTCTTGACGAGGGTGGAAGTGGTGGGATCTATGTTGCAGATAGTTGAGGCAGAGACGCTTGAAGAGGGCACAAAGCACCTAGCAATTGAGTTTATGATCAGTCTTGCAGAGGTGAGAGAGGGCACCTGGTATGATTTATCAATAGGTTGTTTTGCATCTGTCTCCAAAGGCTATTCACTAATGGTAATACTCCTTCATAATTATGATTTAAATTGCAATATTTTACTTTGTTTAATTAGCAAATTTCAATGTTTATTTACTACAATTTTAGATGATCTTTTTCTAATTGATCATATTTATGATAAAAAAAATCATGTTTCCTTTTGTTTTTATTATTTTGTGTTGAAAAATTTGGTTGTATTCATCGGGTTTTAAGACTTGATATATGGGGTCTTGTGAATTAGATGATAAAGTCTACCCGAAGTTCAGTTGGTGTTAGTATAATGTGTTACCTGTCATATTAGAATGAACTATATACCTATATATGGGAACTTAGCTTTGTTTTTAAAAAAAAGGTACATTGTTTAAAGCTTTAATCAGGGAATAACTCTCTTCTTGTTGATGATGCACATGCAATCCATCTGTCATTGCAAAAGTTAGTTTAATTTTAGTGAATTGGTTTCCTTTTTCTAAGTAATGTTTTATATGTTTATGACTACCATTGACAAACATTTCACGTCTTTAGTTTATCCAATATTCAATGATCTTGCACAGATAGCTAGGGGTTTCTCAAAGGTAGCAATATATTTGGAATTTATTATTTTAGTTTTGGTCAAGTTTAATTAGCCAATGCGTCATTTGGTTAATTTATTTTTATGGTTGGAATTAGTTTGGCTACATATTGCACATTTTCATTTGGATGTTGCTTCTAGCCAAAACCACTAACTGATAATTTCTTTGCATATTATAGTTGTTATTCAATAGTTAGTTATGGATTTTTAATAGAAATTATCACCATTTTGGACCTTTGGTTATGAAACTTCTTTTTTTTTTTTGAAGTTTTTACTGCCTCTCATTTTTATGTCACCTAATATCACCATTAAAACTAACAAAAATTGTTGCATATAATGGCGAAGAAGCTCATCTTCAATCATGTTTCTAACCCGAGTGCATAGTAAATCAGCATCATCTCCTTTAATAGGCTCGTGAATCACAACTTTTACCATTCCCATATATACTGAACCCTCCATCCCTAAAGCCATGATTTTACACGTTCCCATAAGAATAATTGCAACAATACTAAATGCACCTTTATGTAAATAAATAGATAAATAAATAAAATAACATATGCTTTAATGATTTCAAACATGTCATTGTGATTGTAAAAAAAAGGGAAAAAGTTGAAATTCAACAAACCAAATTTCCTTTTTTTTAAATGTTCGATTCCATGAAGCTATAAAATTATTAATGGAACATATCGTTTTTAATTAAATTCATTTTTATTTTCTAAAATTAACTAGATTTTTTTCAATTTTGCAAATAATATATTCTAATTAAATTTATTCTTGATTTAGTAATTGTTCTTTTTCAATTTTAATCATTAAATACATCTAATCACATGTGATTATATGTATCTAATCACATGTGAGTTATATGGACAAAAAAGAATGATGTCTATATAAATCATATGTGATTAGATACATATAATCACATATGATTATATACACGAGAACAACTATTAAAACAAGAACATAAAGATAAATATTATCCACATATACATATGTGATTTCACGTTCTCGATTCAGTTGTTGTTCTTGTGTATTCAATATGGACAATATTCGTTTTCACATTCTTGTTCAATAGTTGTTCTTGTACATTTAGTCACATATGATTTATGTATACAATATTCATTTTCGCGTTTTCGATTCAATAGTTTTTCTTTTTCCACATTAATCATATGTTAAATACAAACAATCACATATGATTAAATACATCAGAAAAAATATTGAATAAAAAATGCAAAAAACGAATACTATCAATATAAACGAAGATCTTTATATTCCTGAAAAGATAAAAGGAGGAACTTTACCAATGTTAATTAATCAAAATTTAATAATGGGTTTGTTGAATCATAAAAGTGACCCTCTTGAACTTGATCTACCGCAGCTCTCAAGGATCCGCAGTCAACCTTCATCAGCAACCTCATCCGAAGTCATCATCAACCGCAGTTTACTTACTAGTTTACTTAGTTTAACTCTTATCTGCTTTTATTGTAGTACTCTCTATTGTCCAGTATGCCTTGCATGGCTACGCTTAGAGAATTGATACAATGTAATTCTTGAGTCTCTATATATAGAGCTCAATCTTTCTTATTCAAAAAACTTCAATGACATCAATTACATCTCTTACATCTATCTGATTACGCATCTTGAATCTTATACTCTCTCCTTCTTACTCTCAAAGTTCACTTGAATATAACTGAATATTATTTCTCTTCGGAGCAAGTCATTCGTGACCTAATCACTAAGTTTGATCTCACTTACTAACTTGGTCTGAATGCATTCCTTGTTAAGAATCAACTTATGTGTATACTTGATATAACATCTGCTGTCATTTATATTTCCTTACATTTCCGCAACTAACTCCCTAACTATCTAACTCTTTAACTTATTATTATTATTGTTGAGCTTTTAGATCCTTCGAGATAAACTATTCCGCAACTATACTTGTTCTAACGTTTGTTCAAGTGCGTCTCAAGTTTTTCTCTCAACAATTGGTATCAGAGCCATAGTGGTTGCTTTTTGAAAAACAAAACTCTGATTTTCAAAAGGCCTTCTATACCACTGAAGCTCATTTCTTAACAAAAAACTTTAAAAAAAAACAAGGAAAAATGGCACAAGCGTTATCTCTGAATGTTTCCAACAGTGTTGGTGGTTCAAATCGAGCCCCAATATTGGTGGCAAATGAATATCATCACTGGTCTCAGAGAATGGAAAGATACTTAAGGAGACTTGGTAGAGATGTATGGCGGTTCGTAGAAGAAGGACCGCATGTCCCTGTTCTTACACCAGTTCAAACTGATGGCGCCACAGCCAGACTAGGAGGAGGTCAACCAGTCATGAACCGTCCCACTAAAGATGAACTCGATAAAATGGAAAATGATGTTGTTGCTTTTTATGAAATCTCTTGTGGAGTTGCTCCTGACAACTTCGACATTATCATAAACTGCAAATCAGCAAAACAGATCTGGGAAGTTCTCAAGAATTTGTACGCAGGCTCAGAACAAGCTCAAGATAAGAAGCTCACAACTGCACTCAATGAGTTCAACAATTTCAAAGCTCATACTGGCGAAAGTTTAGAAGACTCCTTCAAAAGGTTCAACCTGATAGTCACCAAGTTATCGAATGCTGGCACCATCGCAGTAACCATGAAACAAACCTTCAGTTTCTCAATGGTTTGGAAAGACATTGGACTACTGCTAAGATGATAGTTCAAGGGGATAGAAAGATTCATTATTTGTCTCTCTACAAGCTCTACGGGGAACTGCAAGCACAAGAATCCACCGTACTCAAAGACTGTGCTGACTTCGGAGGACCACTTGCTCTTATAGCACAAGCTCCACATAATCAATCCTACTATCCCTCGTATGACACTACTCTGCAGTCATACGAAGCCGACTCAAAGTATGATGATGAAGAAGAATTTCAGAAGGCTATTGCTCTTGTTAGTCAACAGTTCAACCGGCTACCACCTCCTTCTTTTCGTAAGAATCAGCAGTTCAACAAACCCCCATTCAACCGTAACTTCAACCCGCAGAATAACCATTCTCGATATCCCAAAAGTTCTCATCCACTACCGCAATCTCAAAATACTCAACCAAAGGAGGCACCGCAGTCCATCCAAACCATTGACTCCGGTACTCCCTCAGAAGACAAAAGTGATGTTGTGATATGTCACAAGTGCAACAAAGAGAATCATTTTGCAAAAGATTGCAAGGCAAATGTAGTGAAAGACAGAGCATTCTACCTAAGAATGGCTTAAGAATTGGAAGAAAAGGAAAAGGCTAGGGCATACGTAGCCCATGTCAAAAGAGACCATCAAGTTTGGTCATCCGGAGATGAAGAAGAAGCCATCAGCAATGTCAAAGGAAAAGGCAAAATCTGCATGTTGGCAACTGCGGATGATGATGGGTCTACAAAGCTGGAAAAGAATTACTGCTACATGGAAAAGAATGGAACTCTAAGCATCGTCGAACAGGTAAAACTCATGATTCAACCTCTAAACTACACATCATGCATGACTGTCAACCCTTCATAGACAATCTTAATGACACATGTGCTGCCGTCCTTACAGACTATAACAAAGCTTTAGATGAGAAGAACATAGCGTCCCAAGAGATGTTTCATGTAAGAGGACGACTGGACAACAAAAGACTCAAAATGGCTATGTTAGAAAAGGACTTAGAGTTAGAAAAAGATGCAAGAATGTTGAGTGAAACACAACTAGAGATAACTTTGAACCAAAGAGATTTAGCTCAGAGTGAGATTGTACGAACCAAAGAGATTTAGCTCAGAGTGAGATTGTACGCTTAAATCTATTAAGAAAAACTGTTCAATGAAAGTGAAGCTATTGAAAATTTGGTGAATAATGGAACTGTGGACAATACATACAATTGGGGTTGGTCCAATGGATATCCTACCGCAAAGGATTCCTCACCCCGGTTTAACAAAGATCGACTGTATGTCCCTCCGGACCGAGAATTTCATTTCCCAGTCAATGACAAAACTTTTCCCGAAGACATCAGAACACACTTCGGTAGACTTCATGATCTAAGTAATAACTGTGTCATTGAGGAAATTGTGCCTGAGGTTTCGGGTCACACAAGTGATCAAACTCCTATCTGTGACACAATCTATGCAAATTCTCAGACGTCATCAGTGGTTGATGAAGAAATTATCCTAGAGAGTCCCGAAGTCTCTCAGGACTTCCCATCTCTGCCCTCAGACCGCAGTGTCTCTCGCTGTAGTCATGAGCCGCAGAAGTCCCACAAAAGTCCCACTGAAGTCCCAACTCAGTCTTACTCTGCGGTAGTCAAATCATCCTTACCGCAGTCCTCAATAAAAAGCTCTGTGACTCTTCAGCCAATTCATCATGAATTACCCATAAAAAACTTTGAAGTGGGTCAATGCTCTCAAAACCCTGAATCTTCAAGTTCGGATGAATCAATCCCTCGTTTTCAAAAATTTTCAAAGGTTTCCAGGAAACCGCATCTGAACACCAATGACTGCGGTTCTCCAAAAACCTTAGCTAAAAAGGCCTTCAAAGAGGAAATTCGATCCCGAGGCACAAATCGACAAATCTTTTCTAAAAACAAAAGACATATCAGATTTCCAAAATCTAAGAGTCCACAAAAGTTTGTTTTCTCACACTATTTTTCAAAATACTCTCCCATCAAGAAAACATACAAAAAGGAATGTACAATGTCAACAGTCATTCCAAACTCATCTGACACAACCCAAAAGAAAGAAAGGTCTTTTCGACACAACCCAAACCCAACAAAAAGGTCCAAAAAATCTACGCGTGCTAAATCTTTTTCAAAACAAACTTTTTCAAATTCCAATAGCACCAATGTTTAGATCTTACCACCCTTGGACCGGTCGCAAGCCTATCTCATCATTTAGACCGCTGACCAAACAAAGTGTCAGAGCAAAAGACAAAATTTCAGCATGTCAATGTCAATGTAGTTGTCAAAATGGTTCATCTCATGTCAAATTTGGTTCATTTCAGAAACCTCGTAACTTTTCTAAAAACTGCAACACTCCAAAAACTCACAAACACCCAGGACTAGGATTAAAAGTTGACACGAAACCAGTCCCTGCAACCTCGGTTCATGCATCAATCAGAAACTCATCTTTTGTCCCAGGCTCCAAACTAGTTTGGATGCCTAAACTAACCGTGTAATTCTCAGGCCTTGTGCAAGGAGGAACAAGAAGAAGAATGGTTAATCGACAGTGCCTGCTCCTTGCACATGACCGGAAGGTTAGAATACCTTCGGGATTTCAGGCCAATTTGCAACGGTGGAAATGTCACATTCGGCAACAATGCGAATGGGATAATCCGAGGTTATGGTGTTCTTACTACGGGAAACTTCTCTATTCAAAAGGTTGCTTATGTAGAAAGCCTTAAACACAATCTCATCAGTGTTGGTCAACTATGTAAGGCAGGCCATCGAGTTGAATTTGATGACCAATTTTGCTATGTAATGACAAGCGATAGGAGCACGTGTCTGATCAAGTCCCAATCCGAAGGCACTATGTATCCTCTGACGTGTCTCTGATCATAGGCAAACCGCGGTTATGCTTCCTATCCAAAGCAGTATCCGAAGTCAGCTGGCTATGGCACCGCAAGATAGCTCATCTCAACTTCAGATACATCAACAATATGGTCACCGGAGAACTAGTCAGAGGTCTTCCAATCCTCAAGTTCAGCAATGATACTCTCTGTCCTGCATGTGAATGTGGAAAGCAATCCAAAGCAAGTCACCCCATGGTGATTGACTCCTCAATTTCTGAACCACTGGAACTCTTGCACATTGATCTCTGCGGTCCATCTACCGTAGCCAGTCTTCATCACAAGAAATACATACTGGTTATAGTTGATGACTTCACACGGTTCACCTGGGTCTCTTTCTTAAGACTCAAATCAGAAACTCCGCAGATATTGATCAATTTTATCAAGGAAATTGAACTTCAGATCAAGTTACCAGTACGACGCATCCGAAGTGATAATGGAACCGAGTTTACTAACCATCTCTTAAATAGTTTCTTGGTTTCAAAGGGCATCACTCACAACTTCTCAGCTCCCTACACACCACAACAAAATGGGGTAGTAGAGCGAAGAAACCGCACTCTAGTAGAAGCAGCCAGACCTATGCTCAACTTCGCACACCTTCCTCTCTACTTCTGGGCCGAAGCAGTGGCCACAGCTTGCTTTGTGCAGAACCGAAGTATTGTGTGCAAACGTCTCAGCAAAACACCGTATGAGGGCCTTAACAACTGCAAGCCAAATATCCGATTCTTCCATATATTTGGGTGTAGATGTTTCGTAATCAACAACAGAGACCACCTTAATAAATTCGCACCGAAGTCTGATGAAGGCATCTTCCTTGGCTACTCAACAAACAAAGTTGATTATAGGGTTCTCATTAGACGCACAAGGCTAATAATTGAAAGCTTCGATGTGAAATTTGATGACTATCACATCCGCAACACCGCTCCATCAACCGGAACCACAACAATCCTAGAAAGTGATATTCCT